CCAGGTTTTTGCTCTCTCTTTAAGTGAAAACGGGAAAAATTTTAACCTAGCTGCATCCGTTGTACCATGTTGATTGTGGAAGGTTGCAACTACCTCCTCAAATTCCCTAATATGCACGTATGGGTTTTCACTGTGAAGTCCATGAAAAGTGGGAAGAAGTTGAATCATTCCCGGTTTTAGTTCCATCCGTAGCATATTGGGTGGAAACATTATGCATGATGGTGTGGATGTACGTGTGGGGTGCAAATAATCATGCAAAGTCCTATAAGGCGCATCGTCGTGTTCACTATCAGACATAGTGTTATGTGTTGAGGTGTTCGTGGCAATTGATGTAGTAGCAAAATAAGGGTTATATTGAGATTCAAACACTGGATAAGGTGCTCCAGTAGAGCTCCCCTGATTGCCTCGATCCCTGCTCATCAAACACACAAAAAAAAACAAAGAAAATGTGAAAACAAAATAAAAATAACTCTAAAAAAAATTAAATCAAATAAAAGTGAAGGAAAGGGAACGATGTCACCCTTTTTCGGTCGATCCCTTGATTACTTGTACCGTCTCCCCGGCAACGGCGCCAAAATTTGATTACGCCCAAAGAATAACGCGGTGATTGTAGTACAGCTTTGGGGTGTCGTATCCACAGGGAGATGGAAAAATTCTCAAAAGATCAAACAAACTAGGGTTTTCGTAATTAAATGTGGGAATGATTTGTCACTTAAAATAAAAATTAATTATCAATATGCGAATTAGTGAAGCGTCAGAGTTCCCCCATTGGATTGGATCAATCAACATCAATAATTCATGTATTTTTACTCAATTAGAGGTTTTCTTCCCAACTCTCTAATTGGAAGATTTAACAATGAAGTCCAATTTTATTCCAATTATGTTTCTAGAATCTAAATTTTCTATAACTCATTCGCACATTTTTATTGGAACAAGATCAAAAATCGACCATATACGTCAGGCATAAGGCAGTAATCAATCCGCCAATAAAGTGATATTAAGATTAAAATTCAACAATTATTTCAATCATTCGATAGAAAGAGCATGGCTAGATCTATGAAGGATTTGATAAAAGTTAAAATAATCTCAACAATAAGTAATTTAAATTGAAACTCAACAAATAGTTTAATTTAACAATGGAAAAAGCATGATTGAATCCATGAGAAATTTATTAAAAGTTAAACAAATTTCAATACTAATCATAACGAGAAAATCCAAATCTAGAAATTATTAAGCAAAGAGAGTTCGAATTACATGAAATTATGATGTGAAATCTCCAAATCCAATTAGTTCCTTCGTTGCTTCACCGAGGTCCTTAGTTTTCCATGGAGTTTCTTGAGCACCAAGATGAAAGAAATAGGTCTGGAGGCGTCTCCCTTCGTTTTGGGTGGTTTTGGGCATTTATATCCCGTGAAAATTAGGTTACCATAAGAGATTCAATCGTATAAGGAAATTGAGATTCGGCCGCTAAAAAAACACTATGTGACCGCATGGTTATTGTCATTGCGGTCGCATGGTTATGCACTTTCAGCCTCTTCAATTCTCGGTATAGGTGTGTGCGACCGCATAGTAGAAAGGCATGCGGCCGCATGGTTCAGCCAGACAGCTTTTAGTATTTTAATCATAACTTTCTTTCCCGATGTCCAATTGAGGTGATTCAAGTTGCATTGGATAGCTAACTCAAAGGGCCACAATTTTTATTCAGAAGTCATCTCCCAATTCGATCATCTTCCATGTCAAAAATAGGTCCCAACATGAGACTAAAAACTGGTGTGTTGGTTTTCGATTGGAAATTGATGTATTGATCAAACTTTGATGTTATTTCATCCCTTTGACTTCGTTCCTCATCCACTTGACCTCTAACACTTTCCAATCTTCATCATAATCTTGGACACAAGTTTGGATCATTTGCACTTTAGTCCTCGAACTTTCGTTCTCTTCTAATTTGGTCATTTTTCACTTGTTTCTTCCGAATTTCATCTTTTTCACCAAAATGCAACCTAAACCAAAATATAAGAGTAATGCGTGCATTTTGGCATAATATAATCACATGAATGCAATAGTTAAGAGGGGAAAATATGATATTTTACACTCTTATCAAGTAGTTATCTCCATATAATATTCAATGACATATCTTTTCTTCTTGCCTCGCCTACCATTGCTTTGTTTTAATTTCGAAGACTTGGGATGAATCTTCCGCATTGGAGTACATTTCTCAAACAACGTCCCATATGTCCTCGCTTGCCATGAAAAGATAAATTTTAACAATTGACAACTTCATCGAGTTGACAAGCCATGACAACACCATGAAATTTTTAGATTTCCATTTTTTGTTGAAGTGTTGCATCCACGGGTGCTTCACATCACCAATAAGGCACCCAATTTTTCCTTTCCCGTCTCCCACTAACTTAATAGATTGAGCCCACTCTCTATAATTTCTACCATTGAGCTTCTCCATCGTAAATTGAAAGGAGGAATTATCAATTCCAATTGACTTCATGTGGGGATGGTTTCAGTCTCACTGATTCTTGTTTCTGAAGAGGCTGTGTTTTACTATTGGTTGTGTTTTCCGCCACCGATGGTCGGGTTTGAATTTACCTGAGCTCTAATACCATATAGACACAATGAGAAAATATTTTATTTTCAATTGATTGATGGTTCCTACAACTCTACACCATGATATATTATACATTACAATAGTGAAGAAAAAGAAAATAATATTCTACCTCAAGAAAGAAAAGATATTTCCTAACTCTAATTATACATAACACCAATATTACAAAAATCCTATAATTGATTCAGGGATTTCTACAAGTGTTCTTGCACATTCGCTCTAAGCACACATGTCGCATACTAACAGGTAATCTGCTTGAAGATATATTTTGCCAGCAAGGAAAGGAAGGTAAGTCGAATCCCACTTGAACAAGCTCAACCTTAAAAGAGAGTTGGCGAAGAACCGTTGAACGCTTCAACTCGGAAACCATTTTCTTGTATCGAAAACTAGGAAGACGAATAGTTCATTCTAGAATTATTTGCTCCCTGGTGTTTACTATCCGCAAATTTTCCTGCTTAATCTTTTTTGTGTTCTCTAAGAAATTAATGCTAAAGGGACGATGATCCCTCTTTGTTGGTTCTCAAAGGCTTATTTTGAAATAGTGATCTTTATATATTATTTTCGTATGTTACTTTGCTTTTTACCAAGTCTTGATGGCTCACCCAGCTTCGCTTGGTGAATGTTCCTCTTAATATTATTAAACTTTTACTTGGTTCACCTACTAGGCTCGTTGTGTCTTTGTGAAAAGACGTGAAGATAAGTGAGCATCAACTTCAAGTGAGATGACTTGTTCGAAGCATACACCAATTGTTATTTTAGGCAAGTGGCTCCTTTTGCCATCACTGGAGGCTTATGTGGCTATCAGTGAAGCATTGATTGCAACGCATTTAAAAAAGGATTTTGCTGTTTGTACCAAAAAAAAAAAAAGGTAATGTTATTCGTAGTGAAGACTGTCAGCAGTCGTCCTATGTGGCATACACTTGACAATTTGGTATTTGATACATAGATATGGTAGTTATTTTTTGAATTATACATCAAATGAAAAACTACCAAATATAAGCCACATAGGGCAACTGTCGGTAGTTTTCACTGCAAATAACATTATTCAAAAAAAAGGGGTGGTCAAAAGAAGTGGCCAAAATGATGTTGAGGGAAAAGATTAGATAAAAAAGCTGATTGTGGTTTAAACTGACAATGATAGAATGCAATGTGATATTTAGATAAGGCACTGTGTAAGTCTTAATATACATATAGCATTGTCCTTTAAAAAAAATTTGAAAAATCGGTATACTTTTATTTTCAGTTAAAATAAATAAAATGAAAAATGAAAAAAAAAATAAAAATAAAAACCAAAGAGAAGAAACCAAAGGGAAGAAAAACAAGAAAACAGAAGTTCATGTCCTTGCCGACCCCGACACCCTATGCCCACACCAAACCGACCAACTCTCTACACCCAATCCCCTAACTCCACATTAGGCTTTCTTCTAAGAAAAACATGTTATTTCTGTTTAGTCACTATACTGGTCAGAGAATTTTGTAATTTGTCTTGATCACCCTATTTCTATTGTTTCAATTTCATAAGTCCCTTTTTCCCCTTTTTTGTTCGACAAAATGTATTGTGCATGTAAAACTCGCTTTCACTTTTTATGAATAGAAATCTTTACTCAGAATTTTTCTTCCATCTCAAACAATAATATATATCAATCGATGGCATGTGAATTTGATAATATTTCTTTCGTGTTTATGTTCAATTCATTCAAGAACGAAGTGCGAGTATATGTTTTATTTATATATTTTAACTAAAAATGTTTATACAATTGACTTTTAAATAGTCAATTTGTCTTTCCCTATTGAGGACTAATAATAATAAAAATGTGACAAGTTAAAACAAATTTGCAAAAAGAGAAAAAGTTACAATCCGCTTAATAGATTAGGGATCAATGGTGCAATTTTTCATTTATTTCATAATTTAGCCTCTAATATTTTTCATTTGATTATAATTAAGCCCTTATTTGGTGTGGAATAAAATTTAGATTTTAATCTAAATTAAAGTCAACAATTAATTTCAACTACATATGTTATAGGATCTATAATTTTTCGACCACAAATTCCATCAATTTTTATCAAAATATATTAAAAATCGGATTTTAATCCATACTAAGTGCTAAAATCTTAGGTATGTCAAAGATCGAGCACTCTATGCACCACTAGTCAATATCGTTAATATCGTATTTTCTTCTGAACATGAAATAAAGATAAGATAATTCAAAATTGGCTTGATAAGAATAATGTAGGTTAGTGCAATTATTCCCTTCGCGTTAATGTAGCCATGCATAGAGTCAATAATTAAAGACTTATAATGAAATTAGACCATTACAAATTAAAGTACGATATTTTTTTTTAAAGGGCGTGACAAAACAATAAGGCTTAAATAAATAGTTTTCCATTTTTCATATTTGTGCATATCAATTAGAACTACAATGACATGTTTAATAGTTGAATTACAAGTCGATATGATTGAACAACCAATCAAAATCATAATAATAATTTTATTGAACAAAAATTACCACTCCAAATTCATATTCATCAATGACATGACAAAATTAAATTTATTCTTGTTAATTACATACAAAAGTTCAATCCAAGAGACCAAAAATTGGCATCTCAAATTTCCAGGCCTCCAGTGTACTTGACTCCGGTTGATGGTAGCCATGTATTTCCCCCTATGAACTGAGACACTGTGAAAGTAGTTGCTTGAGTTGAATCATTAATTGTATGGTAACCGGGCCATTTCACTCGACTTGCCAAGCCAGCTCCGGGACCGGAATTCATGTATTCACCATAATATAAAGTATCGAATGCGAAAGTCTCATTCCATTCGAGCCATCCTTCGGGCCTAATGGCATTGCTAATGTACGATTTCATGATTACAGTGCGCGAATATTGCTTCCACGGCCGGCCTAAGTAGGTATGTGTGGAGTTCAACGATGCTAGCACTTCAGGCTCAACCGATATGTTGCAAAAATGTAGAACAAAGCCCGTATTTTCAGTGGACTCCTTGCGACCTTGAGCAGTTATCGTGTTTTTTTGATTTGGAAGGCCTTTTCGTGCTAGAATTTGACAATTTTGAAAGACAGCGGCACCATCACCAAACATAAAATCAACCGTTCCAGTGATTTGACATTCTCTATAGAACTGACGCATTGAGTGTGCATATAATGTGTCTTGGTATCCCCTCATACCACAACGGTACATCACAGAGAGGTCGGAGTCTGATAGAAACGCCACTGCTTGGTGCTTTTCGGGCCCGGCCGTGTTTTCAAATGTTATGTCTCGTGCTATAAAGCCTTTTCCTTTAACAGCTGCATTTTATACGTAGAACACACACCATTTATGTCACATCAGTACATTTTACTACGCTATTCAATCAAGTCCATGTGTACATTTATACATACCTTCACTTTATAAAGAAGAATAATTCTTAGTGTACGTTATGGACACCATAATGGTGTCCATAATGCACACATGGTGCCCCCCCTATTGGAGGGGTGCCGGGTGGGCCAGGCGCCCCTCCAATAGGGAGGCGTCATGTGTGCATTATGGACACCATTATGGTGTCCATAATGTATACCAAACATGGCCCAAGCTATAAAGAATAGTCGTGTGCTTTTTATGTATCTAAATAGTCTAGACGTAACCAAACATTAAAGTGCTTGTTTGTGCCCCATTATTTGTGAGTAATATATTATGAAATAGTGATTTATGTTAAAATGTGTGGTAAAAAGGGAAGGAAAAGTTTTTTATTTACGTGTAATATTATTTTAATAAAAAATATATGGTTGAAATTGAGCACTGTGGTAGAATATGAAAAAATGATAGACAAACAAAGCATAAATTTTTTTTACAAGGTTGTCAAATCTTTAAAAAGACATAGAGCCCGATGGAACATGTTCATTAGCAAGAAATATGGGTCTAGGCATGTTATCAATAATGCTCGAGTATGGAAAATATTAGACCAAGGATAGTAGATTCCTGTCCCATTTGTACATTGTGCATTAAGCAAAATTTTTTTCTTACATTAATGTTTGGCAAATTGAATTTATTCAACTACAGCCAACAACACTTAATGCGTACATCCACATTATATGTAGCAATTTATATTGACTAAATCAAAGTACTATATTTGGGTCCCGGATATTGTATTCATAAGAATGTAACATTATACTTTTATGCATTTACCATTATACCCTAATAATGCAGTGGAAAAAATAAATAGTTGCATGGTTAATATAGGGAATTAAAATGAGATTAAAGACTGCTCTTACCAAATGTTGCAGTACGGTATGTTGTCCAGCCATCAACGTAATTTCGACTACCCGAAATGACCGTAACATTTACGCCATCTCCAACCATCATAATGTTCCATTTGTTCTTTGTAACATTTACGTTTTCTATGTACACACCTTTCTTGATGTATATGACATATCTTTGGGTGCTATGATCGGGTGCACTTGAAACCGCGTCCATGACGCTCGTGAAATTCCCGGTGCCATCTGCAGCCACCACCACATGTGGAGTCACATTGTAGGTGGCTTGGAGAAGTTTCCGATCACGCGATTTGAGCCAATATGGGAATTGGTCATTGGTTAAAAGCTTCCTACCACCCGACTGACCTCCATTGCCGCAAGAATGGGCACCTTTCGGTGGCGCGACATTAGGAGGTGGGCGTACCATGGAAAGCATGTCACGGACTAACGAGGTGATTTGGTCGAGCGTACCCGACACCAAACCTTTGAGAAAGCTGTTTGTGTCCTCAAAACCATCTAGACAAGTGTCTTGGTTAATCAGTGTCGCACTCAACCATGTATTCATGTCAGCACTCAAATTTCCAGTGCCATTCACCCTACCTGTAACAAAAGTAGATCCGCAATTAGTAATTTGACTAAAAAATTTAAGAAACACACCTAAAATCATGAAAGGTCACTTGCATCATAGTGCATTTATTGATCTTGCAGTAAGTGTCAAATGTAAAATGTCACATGCTACCACAATTTGTGACAGTGTGACACCTTATTCTAGGTTCCTTCTTTCGTTATCGAGGCTCGAAAAATCGTGCTATAGAGTCTGATAGTACGATCTGTGTAATATTTTTTGTCCGGTTTTTCACGGGAACATATTTTTTTTTCCTTCTTAAATTATTAAAGTAAATACTTTACCCACAAAATGATTGACCTTCAGCTACTTTTTCCTTTAAAAAAGAGGAGGCAAACGTGCAAAACTTCAAGAGGTAATTTCCAATGATCACTAAACTTAGGTTCATATTTTTTATTGATCATTAAATTTTAAAATATCGAGTTTTGATCATTGAATTTTAAAAAATATCGAATTTTGGTCACTGAGTTTATATCCATGTCTTTGATTGATCACTGAACTTTAAAATGTCGAATTTTGGTCATTAAATTTTGAAAAATATCGAGTTTTCCTTACTGGTTCAAGTCTTAAATTGCTCAATAAATTTTAAAATGTCAAGTTAATTACTAGCATAATTATTAAACTTTGAAAAATATCGAGTTTACAGTGAATAATATACAATATTTTTCAAAATTCAATGAGTAATGTACAATATTTTTTTCAAAGTTCTGTGAGTAACGTACAACATTTTTCAAAGTTCAGTAGTCAAAACTCGATATTTTAAATTTCAGTGAGTAATCGAAGACATGGACCTAAATTCAGTAATCAAAACTCAACATTTTTCAAAATTTAATGACCAAAACTCGACATTTTAAAATTCAGTGATCAATTAAATATATGGACCTAAGTTCAGTAATCAAAACTCGATATTTTAAAAATCAGTGCCAATCATAGAAATGATCATAAGTTCATTGGAACAATTAACTCAAACTTTAACAAAAGCCGATCAAAAAAAAAAAAAAAAAAAAGAGAGGGCAACTTTCAAGGTTTTGTTTTTAAAAGCGTGCACAAAATACTGAAAGAGGTAGTCAAATGCGTGAAAAGAAGGGAAATAAATAGAGGCAGTGTGGGGAGGTGGAGGCGGCAGGTGAGGGTATTAATGGAGGCACTACTCTAAATGGCAAGAATGCACTTGCATGGGTGTCAGCAATTCTTCTACATATTGGAAGAGTGAGGTGTGGTGGGGTGGGAATAGGAGTGGGTAGTAAAGGGTTGGCGTGGGTGTGGGGGGTGTCGGTGGTGACCACCTAATTGTGAGTTCTTAGAGAGACGATTCTTCACTGTACATGAAACCCCCTCGGCGCATCTTAGTAATGCTTGCCAGCTTAGTTAAAGTTTTCTTTTTTCTGCTTTGGGAAAAATTCTCAATTTTATTCCAATTCCCTATCAAACGAAAATATCAATAAATTCTGTAATTAATAGTTTGTGATAAATTAAACATAATTATGTGATCGGCGAAGTTGCTTAATTAATCATATGTGATTTTTAAAATACTGTTTCACCATTTTTTAGAGTTTTCTTAAGACCAAGAAACTTTTTATAGTGAAAGAAACGTGTGTAAATTTTTCAAGCCATTGAGATTTTTAGTGAGAGATGTATATATCGACCAATTATGTTATATGTACATTCTTCTTGACATTATGTTTGACATTATCACATGATTGGACAATTAAAAAAAAAAATACTTTCACCCTCAACACTTTTTGAACTCCAATGGAATGTACACGAAAATGTTAAACATTGAATGTAAAATTAGCATTATTCTATATAGACTAGAATACGTGTGCATTTAACATGAACCATTGATGCTTCTATTATAGAAGTATGATATCCTATGCTGCCAATATACGTAATGCCCTCGATGCGCGTTACGACGATGGAGTATTTTTTTTCTTTTTCCATTTTCGAGCTTCTTTGACATGTCAAAGGTGTTAAGTAATTAATTGATGCTCATTTAGTCTTAGGACAAGATGTGTGATGGAAGATCTTGTCTCCTTCGTTCTATACTATTACGAATTTGATCAAAAGACTATGACAATAATCAAATAAACAAGAAAAAAATCAAGAACACCAAAATTTATGTAGAAGCCCAAAACGGGAAAAAATCACGGACAGAAGAGGAAAAATTCACTATAATTTATAGAATTTTGTTTACAACAAGATCTTAATGCTTTCAACTAAGATCTAAAACTCACAAAATATTGTATGAATGTTATTGGAACAATACAAATTGTGACTTATATATATAAAACCCTGGAAACCAAATTGAAGATAAATAGGAGTCCAAAACACGTTAAAACACGAAACTCGGGGAACACTATTGCTTGTCCAACAACTCTGCTGCTCGGACATCAAGAGGGCAACAAATGGGCGAGAACTTTCTATTAAAAATCTATTGGTGTCGCTCGAGCGTCCAACTAGTGGCAGGCTACCGAAAATGCAGCAACTTTTTTTCTCAGTCCATAATTTTGATATGTTCAAGATCACTTTAAGTGTAACTTGTTGGTCCAGCTCTTTTTCATACAAAGTTACTCTAGCTTCGATCACAACTCGATCCCTATGCTACTTTTCATTCTACATCCAGGTTGAAGGCATCTTATTAAAACCAAGCAAGGCTTCCTCTAAATCCATCTATGCGAGAACTGCTCGCATCTTCATTTGCTATAAAGTAAATCTCGTGCTTCGAACCAATAATGAAATATCACACTTCATCGTTGCTATGCAGAATAATCAACATTCGCTTTGATACCACTTGTTGCGAATTTGACATGAAGATTATGACAATAATGAAATAAACAATAACAAAATAAATAACATCAATATTTACATGGAAACCCAAGATAGGAAAAACCCACAGTCGGAAGAGGAAAAATTCACTATAATCAATGACAATTATATTTACAACAAGATCTAAATAGTCTCAACTAAGATCTAAAACTCCCGAAATGTTGTATGAATGTTATGGGAGCAATAAAAGTCGTGGCTTATATATATACAATCCTAGAAGCCAAATTGAAGATAAGTAGGCGTAAAAACACATTAACACAAGAAACTCGGGAAACATGTCACTCGAGCGACAAGCGATCGATAGACGGTCAACAGTCCCACCACTCGAGCGTTAGGTGGGCTACAACAGGTGAGAACTTTCTGTTGAAAATATGTTGGTGTCACTCAAGTGTCCAACTAGCAGCAAGCTAGAGAATATGCGATGACTTTTCTTCTCAGTCCATCATTTTGATTTCTTCATGACCACTTCAACTAGGACTCCAATACCCATTAGAATTTGGATCACAATACAACATATATTATCCACAAATCACCAAACGCCTACATGACGCGTCAAATTAGTCATTTTCAAATTTAATGAAAATGGTCAACTTTAACTACAAGTTGTATTAATGACAAATCGAGTCCATTCATTTCTTATCTAATGTTATATGTACAAATAAACTCCAGTACTAAAGCATATTTCATTATATTAATAGAACATGAGAATTTTATTACTGTGTTTTATTATGAAAAGTTCATTTTTTGCCAACGAAAAAACTTATATAAGTAGCCGATGAATTAGTATATTATCGCTAACAAGGACTAGATATTATATTGAATTCATAGTGACAAACTGAATCTGTTCATTTTTTTATCTGAGGTTATACGTGCAAATACACTCTTGTATTAAAGTATATTTTATTGTGAACATAGGAATTATTATATTATCGCTAACAAGGGTTTAATTAATATTGAATTAAATTCATAGTGACAAATTGAGTTTGTTAATTTCTTATCTGAGGTTATATGTACAAATACACTCTCTTGTATTAAAGTCTATTTTATTGTATTAATTGAACACAAGAACTTCTTTAATGTGTTTTATTATTAAATTTTCATTTTTGTCAATGAAAAAACTTATATAAATAGCCCAGGAAATAGTATATTATCGCTAACAAGGGTTTGGTATATGCAAATTTGTGCAAAAGATGTCCATGTATGACTCCTATTGTATTTAAAATATATTTTATATTTCTACTTATTATTTATTTATTGACTTGCTTAAATTAGAATGATTTTTCAATGTCAAAATATGTGCAAAAAAAGTGTTTAATTGCAAGTCAAAAAAAAAAGGTAAGCCAGTCAATTAAATTAACTGGATGCTACAGGTTAACAAAATCTTGACTACAGTTTTTACAAACCCTAAACGAGGTGCAATTTTTACTTACCTTATAGTAGCATATACAGGAACACATACTTAACATCTTGGATGGGTTTGATTAGTCAAATAATTAAAATAAGGAAAAATTATTTTAATTAAATAAAATTTTCCTTGATTTAATTATTGATCATATCAAACATATTTCTATATTATTCTTACAGTGAAAAACTTTCATATTTTAAATGAGGCACATTCGTGCCTTGGAGAAGCCTCTACACAAGTAGAAAAAATTATTAAGGGATATTTGAATGTTTTGAGGGTAAACTATTTACATTTGGCAATCCTGCAGCACAAAGTTAAAGTGTCTTTAGACCTTCTCCATTGAGTTTTGACCGGCTAATATTTCAATGAAGTATTTTGGAACAAAAAATTGTTTTCTTCAATTATAATTGAAGAGAACATTCCTGAGCATGAATAATATAATCCTACTCAAAGATTAGGCTGCTTCGTATGAATTAAGATCGACGAATCTTAATCCAAGTAGTGGTTGCGATAAAATACAATAGTAAAGTGACAATAAAATCAACACCAGAGGGTTTGATTCGACTTCTTGAACAAGTCAAAACAAATAGTAAAATAAGGGAGTTGTTCTTTATTTACTTTTGATTGTTTAGTTAATTTTATGAAATTACTAAATTGAAACTATTGTATTTTTGAATTTTTGATAATGGATTATTTTACCCGTAGCATGGGGTTCCGTGGATGTTTCCCTTGAGGATTTACCGAGTTATATTTGATGTTCATTGTTATTTATTTTCGCAATAAATTATAACACGTAGAAAGTTAATCTATTAATCTTTTTCAGTTA